GGGGGCGCGGGGGCCCCCGGGCTCCCCCTCCCCTGGAGGCCGGGGGCGCACAGGGGGACGCCGGGCGGCTCTCGGGGATGGGAGGTGCTGCGCTGGGTGTCCGGGCGCTGTCCTCAGTTTCCCGGGGACAGACAGGCTCGCGCCGCGGGGCCAGAGATGACCAGCGGTGCGCGGCGCCTGGACCAGCCGCTCGGCGGCCGGGGACTGCGGGGCCGGTGCACTCAGCCCGCCGCGCGGCCCCTATGTCGCCCTACGCGCCGGCCCCGAGGCACCCAGATCCCACTCCCGGACTCCGGGAGTTGGGGGACTCAAGATCTCTCCGGCAGCTGAGTCCCGTCCCCCACTCCGAGTGCCTCTCGAGTCCTAGGCGACCCGGTCCTCTACCTCCACCCCGCAACTGGCTCTCCCTCTTCCCCCGGAGCTCACCTCTCCGCCACTCTTCCCCTCCTTTCCTCCCCTGCGGAGCATTTTTCCTGCAAATGGAGTGGGGCGGTGCAGATGGACCCGGTCTGGGGCGCAGGGGCCCTCGCCGCATCCCCCGCTGCTGGCGTGACCCCCGCTAGACTAACTCTAGCCTGGCCTCCCAAACTGGGGTGTGGGGGGCTTCACTGAAACCCCCAGGGCTCAGCAGGGCTGAGCGCTCTGCTCTCCCAGCTAGGAGGCTCGGGTCTTGGGTTACGCCCCCCACCCCAGCGCCTGAGGTGACCCCATCTCCCAGACCCATGCACAGGAAGCCTTGGGACCCCATGGAAAATTGTCGCTCAATAGGGCTCAGCTTTTGATGGCCCTGCGTGTCTGGATCTTCAACCAGCCAGTCCTGAGACCACCCCAGGCTTCTCCAGTGTCCCTGTCTCTCCCATCACCCTGCACCTCCCCCCGTGGAGGTCACGGTCATTTCCCTGCTAGCCTGGCCCTGTGAGGCCACACTTTTCTGGCCTGCCCTTTCCCTGGAGCTCTGAGCCCCTATGTCTCCACAGGAGAGACCAGGGCAGGCAGCATGGCTCCCCCAAAGTGTGAGCTGAGGAGAGAGGGTCCAGGGGCTCAGGCCCCCATCCCTGTGCCTGGCCAGCACTCCTGACAGAAAACTCTCCTTTCTGCTTCTGAGATGGGTGTGATGGGGGTTACCTGGGCAAGGAGGGTCCCTGGAGAGTGGAGGTCTGAATATGTCCCCCTCCCAGGGCAGTAGAACTGGAGGACTTCATCTCTCCTAGTGGGATGTTAAGGGAGTGGGGCCCAGGCTAGGGGGTTAGGGGCCAGTGGACATGCTGGGAGATGCCCGCTCCATTTTCAGGCCTCTGTCAGCCATGAAGGCTGTTCTTTTTTGTTGGGTCAGATGGATGAGGTGGAGCCGGGAGGGACAGGCTTTTTCAGGTCCCAAGTTAGAGCCTACTCCCCAATGTCCCCCACACATTATTGTGCTCCAGGCTGCAGAGCACGTGCCATCTCTACCCCTCCCAGTGGTTCACGGGGTTTGCACAGACACGTGAAAGCAAGTGGGGTGCCTTGCGGGGATGGGGAACAGGGCAGAGGTCCCCAGCAGAGGTCATTGCTGTAGAATCACAGCGTTCCCCTGACCGCGTACCCACTGCCCGCCAGGCACTTTAGATAGTGCTCCAGCCCCGTGTTGTTATCCTCATTTCGGGGAAGAAGAAATCACGGTTTGGAGAGGCTAACGGAGACCCACTCAAAGTCATTTAGTTTGCAAGTGGCAGGGCCAAGATTTGAACCCCAGCAGCCTGACTCCACGGTACTCATACTTAAGTTCTGTGCTGTGCGGCTCCCTTGGTCCTGGAGGAGGGAGGTCAGGGTGGGAGAGGACGCTGGACCTTCATCTGATGGCTCAGGGACCCTGGGACTGGAGTCCATGCCCAGGGTCCACTTGCCCATCCGGGACTGCAGGACGAGGGCTACTGGGAGAGTCACAGGGCACTCATCTTTTCATCTCTCCTCTGTACTGTCCTCCCCCGACCCCAGGAAGAGAACCGTCTACAAGACTGTGTGCCTGTCCCTGGCCTTGCTCGTGGCCATAACAGTGTTCCAGCGCAGTCTGCCCCCCAGCCAGTTTCTGCAAGAGCCCCCGCCACCCACCTTCGAGCCACAAAAGGCCCAGAAGCCAAGCGGGCACCTGGTGAACCCCAACAGCTTCTGGAAGAACCTGAAGGATGTGGTCACCCCCACGCCCCTGGCCTCCCGGGGGCCCCAGGCCTGGGACGTGACCACCACTAACTGCTCAGCCAACATCAACCTGACCCACCAGCCCTGGTTCCAGGGCCTGGAGCCGCACTTCCGGCAGTTTCTGCTCTACCGCCACTGCCGGTACTTCCCCATGTTGCTGAACCACCCGGAGAAGTGCGGCGGCGACGTCTACCTGCTGGTGGTGGTGAAGTCGGTCATCACGCAGCACGACCGTCGCGAGGCCATCCGCCAGACCTGGGGCCGGGAGCAGGAGTCGGCGGGCAGGGGCCGTGGCGCCGTGCGCACCCTCTTCCTGCTGGGCACAGCGTCCAAGCAGGAGGAGCGGGTCCACTACCAGCGGCTGCTGGCCTACGAGGACCGCCTCTACGGGGACATCCTGCAGTGGGACTTTCTGGACAGCTTCTTCAACCTGACCCTCAAGGAGATCCACTTCCTCAAGTGGTTTGACATTTACTGCCCGGGCGTCCACTTCATCTTCAAAGGTGACGATGACGTCTTTGTCAACCCCACCAACCTGCTCGAGTTTCTGGCTTACCGGCGGCCGCAGGAAGACCTGTTCGTGGGCGACGTCTTGCAGCACGCCCGGCCCATCCGCAGGAAGGATAACAAGTACTACATCCCCGGGGTCCTGTACAGCAAGGCCAGCTACCCGCCCTACGCAGGCGGCGGTGGCTTCCTCATGGCCGGCGGCCTGGCCCAGCGCCTGCACCACGCCTGCGACACCCTGGAGCTTTACCCCATCGACGACGTCTTCCTGGGCATGTGCCTGGAGGTGCTGGGCGTGCAGCCCACCGGCCACGAGGGCTTTAAGACTTTCGGCATCTCGCGGAACCGCAACAGCCGCATGAACAAGGAGCCCTGCTTTTTCCGCTCCATGCTCGTGGTGCACAAGCTGCTGCCCCCCGATCTGCTGGCCATGTGGAGGCTGGTGCACAGCAACCTCACCTGCTCCCGCAAGCTCCAGGTGCTCTGACCCTGGCCTCTGCTCCCCTGCAGGATGGTGGAGGGTCTGAGCCTTACGTGCCGCGGGGTGTGGTGGGGTGCAGGTAGCCGGAGGGGGGCCTCCCTCTGCGCACACTTTCCAGAAAGTGGAGCGGAGGCCCGGGAACGTTTGGAACTGCCCAGACTGGAGAAAGTCATCTGGGAAGCGAGGCTGCTGGCCGCTGGCAGCCCTCCTGACCTGGGTCTGTTGCCTGGCTCCCTCTGACTCGGTGGGAGGCCCTGGTGGCCTCTGAAGGAACCCTGTGCTCAGGTACCTGGGCTCCGCCTAGCCCTGGATGGGTCTGTGGCTGCCCTCCTGTCTTCACAGAGAAGATTCTCCTCCCGTGAAATGCCTCACTCTCCCCAGGGGCCCAGCGGCCCTTTCAGAAGAGCTCAACCCTGTGCAGGCTCACAGGTCCCCCCACAGCCCACATCCCCCCCACAGTCCACACCCCTGGGTCTCCTGCAGATGGAGCCCCAGAGAGCCCTCAGCACACCCCCATTCCTGCCTGGAGTTGGCTGCTCCCAGGTGGCTTCGCTCCTGGCTGCGTCCTAGAATGCTCCCTCCAGCCTGTCTGGAAGCACGACCAGCCACTCTGACTACCTCAGCGATCCTCAACCTCCGATGGGCCGCAGCCCCATCCCACCCCTGACGCAGGGCAGAAGAGCAGCGAGCGCTCCGGCCCCCGCAGTCACGGTGCTGCCCGCCCGGCCCACACCGAGGGCCCTCCTGCAGCCCCACCGAGGCCTGGCTCCCTGGCCAGAAACCAGCCGGTTTGGCCCTGGAAGTGGACATTCCTCTGTTACTGTGAAGTTTTATTTATGAAGAATTTGGAGGGAGAAGGCGCCAGGCCTCAGGAGATGGTGGTGTTCTTCCCTTCCCTGCCCTCGTTCCAGCCAGACACGGCCTCCCTCGGCCCCTTTTACCATGACCACCACCACCCCCTCCAAGGGCACCCCCTGCCCATCACAGCCCCGCTCCAGAACCCTGCCCCTCCTGCCGCCTCCTTCTCCAGAGCCTGAGCAGACCAGCATTTGCTTCTGTGAAGGGATGAAATAACCCTCGTGGGCCACCCTGTCCAGGTTCCGGGGTCCTTGGGGGTGGGTGCAGAAGGATGCGACCTCGTATCTCAGGGTGGAGTCACCTGGGCAAAGACTGAGGAATCAATTCTATTTTCTCAATAAAAGGGGATTGGTGTTTTTCTGGCGTGAAACTTCCTGTTGCCATTTCCATCAGAGGGCCTGTCTGGGGCCGAGGTTGCCAGAGGTTTCTGAAGACACAGCTTGTTCTTTGCGCTTGGCTCGTGGGTGCACAGGGGCCAGAATCAAGAAAGATGCCCCTGGGGCCGGCCCTGTGGCGTAGCGGTTAAGTGCGCGCACTCTGCTGCTGGCGGCCCAGGTTCGGATCCCGGGCGTGCACTGATGCACCGCTTGTCAGGCCATGCTGTGGCGGCGTCCCATATAAAGTAGAGGAAGATGCGCATGGATGTTAGCCCAGGGCCAGTCTTCCTCAGCAGAAAGAGAAGGATTGGCATGGATGTTAGCTCAGGGCTGATCTTCCTCACCAAAAAAAAAAGAAAAAAAAGAAAGATGCCCCTGGACGGGGCAGTGAGGGGGGAGTGCAAGACTTTGGAGCTAACAGGGGCCCCCCAAGTGTGGGCCAGTGCATTCCATGGAGAGCAAGGCCAGAGTTGACACCCAGGCTGGTGTTCCAGTGGGTGGGCTTGGGTGGGGACGTGCAGGGGCTGGTGGGCTCCCTGATGTCCTGTCAGTCAACCTGGAAGCGTTGATAAAATTGACAAGAAGCCTTGAGACAGTGGCTCAGGGGGGTCCAGCTTTGGGGGTCGGAGGGACTGCACTGTGCCCAGAACCCTGGCCTGAGCTGCTTACCTCCAGGAGGGTAGGGGGGTGGGGACAGCTGCCCCCAGGAGAAGGGTCACGGGGCCACAGTGAGCAAGCCAGCAGCTCCCTGCCTAAGGCCAGCTCGGGGCACTGCAGAGTAGATCAGCTACCCCCGGAGAGTCACCCTCTCATTAATGTTTCCCCTGGGCCTCTCCTTTAGGTGCATCATAGGAACGGCTGGGTCTGAATATAACGCAGCATCTTAGAACGTAGAAGGGGCACGAGACTAAATGGACATCCAAGCCCTCAGAGAAGAAAAAAGGGGACATTTAAAAAGTTAGAGTTTCAAGATCGCGACAGCAGAGGGTTAAACAGCACGGGGCCCTTCTGAGGTGGGGCCTCATGGCTGCACAGGCTGCTGCAAGCCGGAGTCGCCAGCCCTGTTCCTCACTCACCCACTGAAGCCAGGGCTGCAGAAAGCAGAGTGGGGCTCAGAGCTCAGCCCAGCGAGGGCAAGAGCAGCAGAGGGCCACCCAGGAGACTGGGAGGTGGAAGGGCCACGGGACCTAGGCCTAGGTGGGGGTCCAGAGGCAGCATCGTGTTGAGCTTCCACCTGAAGGATGAGTGGGCAGGCCAAGGGAAGGGCTTGCGCAGAGGGCTGGAGGGGAGGGAGGTGGGTGCGTGCTGAAGCAGAAGGGCTGGGGCTGGGGTGGGAGGCAGGCAGGGCCTGTTCTCAGGCTTTCTGGGTTGCAGGAGGGTGTTCAGACTTGATCCTGAGAGCAGAGGGGCCAGCAGCAAGGAGCAGGGGCCCTGGGTGTGCACCCCTTCCTCTGAGCTCACTCTGGCTGTCTCCAGCTGGGCCTGGGAGCTCTAAGTGGAGGCAGCAGGTTCCCAGTCGCTCCTGATTTCATTTCAGACCTCAGGGGCCCAGGCCTGGGCTGGCCCGGTGGGCCGGGAGAGAAGTGGGGCACCAGCATTAGCCCAGCAGAAGGAAGGGAAGAAGGGTGGGGGAGCCCACCTGAGGGGCCAGTGGAACAGGACCCCCAGCACAGGGTGGGGAGCAGGCATCAGCCCTGCGCCTGATAGTGCACCTGCATCTTAAAGGAGGAGTGGGCATTTGTCTGTGGTGGAAGGGGATGGGAGGGACAGTCCAGGTGGGAACACACACGACAGCCCAGAAGTGCGAAAGAGCCGGGCCTCCAGAGAAGCAGCCAGCTGCCCTGTGTGGACAGTGATGGAAACAGGAGGAGCGAGGCTGAGGGTGTCCTGGTGAGAAATCTTGCTAAGTGGTAGGGTGCTTTCCACAGACATTGAGGAGCCACCACAGCTTCCAAAGCAGGGAAGAAACAAGATCAGATGGGAACCCTAGAAACATGTCCTCATCCCCAGTCCCCCGTTTGGGGCATTGGGAGGCAGTCGGTCTCAGGCCCCAGGAACATCAGGCTGGGAACATGGAACATGGTCCCAAAGCATCCCCACCACTGTCCCCCAGCTCCTCTGTCCCCTTAGCAGGAACTGGGCTCTACGAAAGAAGAGGCTAGTGACTGGGAGGAGATTTGCTGGCATTGCCCACCCTAAGCCAGCCTGTCCAGAAGAATGCCCCAGCCCAGACGCCACCCCAGCTGATTGCAGCCCTCAGCCAGCTCCTCGCTTGGCTCTGGCCCTTCCACGCAGCTGGCCCTGGTTTCTTCACTCTGCCTAGGAGTGTGACCTGGCTGCCTCCAACGACAGGCCTGGCTTATCTGAGGTTTATTGCCGATCATTCTGGGAAACAGATATAAAGGCCATTCTGGAAATTTCCAGAACCTTCAGGTATTTTCAATCTTGCTTCCTGGGCAATGATAACAACTGCCATTTTTATGGAGCATATCTGACATGCCTGATACTATGGTAAGCACTTAACATGCATAATCGGTATGACATGAATTCAGGGTACAAATATGGTTACATCTTAATTTTTCTCATTGATTGCTCAAGTCCCTGAGTCCCTCATGTACCCTTATTGGCAGAAGATTGAAAGGGAGCAGCACATGACACCCCATAATATGCCTCTTTGGCATAAGGATTATCTTGAGCTGGTTATTTTTAACCAAGTAGAAGTTACTCTCTTGTAAGGGACATTTACATTTATAAGGGAAATCTGCAGTAGTAAGTTTCTCCCTCTCTGTACCAGGAAGAGGAGGATGGCTCTAAATCATTAGACACTCATCAATGGAGAAGGCAGTGACTTAAATTTGCATGATAACCTGCAAACCCCTGTTTACTGTGCTTTTCCTGGTAACCTCCCATAAATGGCCTTCCTCCCCACCTCCCCACATCTTTCTTCCGTCTTTAGCTGAAGATGATATTTAAGGTGGTAGCTTTGGCGGCCCGCCCAGTGGCGCAAGCAGTTACGTGCACGCGCTCTGCTGCAGCGGCCAGGGGTTCGCCAGCCCGGGCGTGCGCTGACGCACCGCTTGTCAAGCCGTGCTGTGGCGGCGTCCCATATAAAGTGGAGAAAGATGGGTATGGATGTTAGCCCAGGGCCAGTCCTCCTCACCAAAAAGAGGAGGATTGGCAGATGTTAGCACAGGGCTGATCTTCCTCACAGAAATAAATAAATAAGGTGGTGGCTTCGGCTATTTCTGAGAGTTTTACTCAGTTTTCCTGGGTATCTCCCATGCATATAGGAGGTATACATGTTATTAAACTTGTTTTTCTCTTGTTAATCTGTCTTTTATTATGGAGAGTCTCAGCCAAAAACCTAGAATGGTAAGGGGAAAGTTATTTTCCCTCCCTACAAAATCCTACCGCTCCCTCTTGGAGCCCACTCACTCCCAAATTGTCCAGAACCTCAAGTGCTACCTTAGTCCAAGCGGCGCGTTCTCTGGCAAGTCTGAGCCGTCCTGTTCGGCCATTGCTTCTTCCTCCACACAGTGGCGCTGTGGAACATGGGCGCCACACAGTCCTGGGTTTCTTAGGCGCCATCTTCCCGCGCAGGATGCAGTGGGACCCACACTCCTCTTTGAATCACGCTCTGGAGCGCAGCAAACCAGGGGTGCTGGGGCCTGTGGCTCCCAGTCGGCTGCACAGTGTGCTAGGGAACCCCACAAACTCAGGCTCTCTCTGTTCTTGTGAAGGAAGTTTCCAGGCCTTTCTTGACTAAATTTTAGTCAATCCCCAACCTGAATTGGGGGAGCAGGTTGAGGGGGTATGGGTCTCAAGCCCGTTCTTCCCCAAAGGCCCTGGCCTTTGGGTCAAAATGCGTCCCCTCTTCCCCTGCCACCAGCTCTGCGATCCAAGGGCCTAGAGAAGGGGTTGCCTTGTCAGGCCACGAGAGGTCCCACTCTGCTCTTCCTGCCAAGCAATGGGTGCCCACTGGGCCACATTTTTTTTTTTTTTTGGTGAGGAAGATCAGCCCTGAGCTAACATCCATGCCAATCCTCCTTTTTTCTTTTTTTTTCCCTTTTTCTCCCCAAAGCCCCAGTAGATAGTTGTATGTCATAGTTGCACATCCTTCTAGTTGCTGTATGTGGGACGTGGCCTCAGCGTGGCCGGAGAAGTGGTGAGTCAGTGCGCACCCCGGGCCGCCAGTAGCGGAGTGCACGCACTTAACCGCTAAGCCACGAGGCGGACCCCTGGGCCACATTTACATAACTAGAGGAGAGCACTCAGAGACCCTATCTCTAACAAGGAAAGCCTGCTCTGAGGTGCCGTAGTCTGTCCACCTAAGCTGAGAAGCAGGGAGGGAAGCTTCTGGAACCCCATTATACACCACAGTTAAGTGAAGTAATGGAGGCTCTCGAGAAGGGTCCCACAGCTATTGAGTGACAGGGCACAACTCAACCTCTTGTCTGTCCTCCTAACCCCTCACCCTACCGTCTCCCAAGACCTTCACCCTCCTCTCTGTTTCCTTAGTAGTAACTTCCACGTGTATTTGTGTTTTTTTGCCTGAAAGCCCAGAGAGTAGGAAAATGTGACGTCCGACGAATGATTGGAAATTTGGTATTTTGGCGTTTGGGGGAGTCCAGCAATATTAACACCGTAAGAAAAATTTTTTCCAGGTAGTTGCTTAAAATATTGTAAAAACAAACTTGACTGTTTCAGTGAAACACTATGCATCGCTTAAAGCACACCCCCAAGCTG